CCTAAGTATTGAATACTAATGTTCTAGAAGCTTCTGGCATTACTTGGCAAGTCTGACCATGTTCTCCTTCTCTTAGTTTCTTTCTGTTGCTTGCCTCATAGGCTTTCCCATCTTCATCCAATTGAGACCAGCTCTTTCCGTTCCCACATGGGAGACACACAGAACAAGCCAGTCTTTCTGGGGTTGAGGGTTATACCCTAGCAGAGACCCCAGGATGTTGTAAGGCAGGGGCTCAGGACCAGTTGAGCTATGAGGATAGTGGAATGACACATGGTCATGGGCTCCACAGCTCTGAGGGCAAAGTCCCTTTGCTGACCCATGGATGCAGACTGCTTTCTCAACTAGAGGAAATCATGAGCTGTCACAGGCCAGGGGAGGAAGTGGAAGATTGCTGTAGTTAGTTCATGACTAGAAAACACCACATGCTTCCTGGTAATAGACTAGAATGTTCTTAGGGTTCTTGTCATTCCATGAGTGTGGTGCTGGGCACTGTGCCAGAGAGCTTACACAAAGCTGTTGACACCTTATGGCTGAAACTGACAACATCCCTGTTGAGTAGGCTGGGCAGGTCCCAGTGCTATAGGCAGAGTCCTATCCTCAGATGAGGAAGCTGAGGCCTAAGAGGTGGCTTGACCTGGCCTAAGGTTGCATAGCTGACAGGAGGCAGGGCCTTGCCTGGAACTTGGGTCTTCACTGTGGGGATATGTTCTAGCTGGGCATCTTGATGCAGCCATGGTGGTAATATCCTGAAACTTATGGCCTTGTCCAAAGGTGTGGAGGAAGATTCCCCCAGATCCTGGTTGCCTGAGACTTCTGAAATGTCATCATCTCCTGATATCCACAGGGGAGTGTGGACAGGTGGTTGTGGCATCCCTCACAGATCTCCTTTCTTCCCCCCACCAACCTCCTTTCCTTTCTTAAACTGGGAAAATCTTTAGCTACTGTTACAGTTTGGAAATAGCTAGCATGCATCCTCCAAAGGCTTGTATTTTATAAGCCAGGCTTCCAGGATAATGGTACTAGAGCTGGGGACATAGCTCAGATTTGAGGATGCTTGCCTAGAATCCACAAAGCTCTGAATTCAGTCCCTACCACTGCATAAAATCAGATCTGGTGGTGCGTTGGGATGTAGGGGTGGAAGGATCAGAAATGTAAGGTCATCCTGAGCTACAGCATAAGTTGCAGGCCAGTTTGGGCTACATAAGACCCTATCTCAAAAAACAACAAGAGTGCAGGGAGTGCTGATTGAATAAACATGCATTGTAGACATGGACATGACCATGTCAAGGACCATAGTGCCTAAGACCCAGGTGAGGCTCAGAGACATAGCAAAACCTTCTCTGGTCCAAGTGTGAGTGTGCCAACGATTGAGCACTATGTGCAAAAGGAACAATTGCCCAGTGTGTCCAAAAACTACAACCACAGCTTCTGTCTCCTGGATGACAGTAGTCTGAGACTGCCCCCCTACAGAAACCTCCCACTAAACACTTCTCCTTATGTTGTCCATAATAGAAACTGAGTTTCCAGGTAACATAGTAGGTGCCCTCCACCAGACCCCAGCTTTTCTGTATTTGTATCTGTCATTTCTTCTTTCCCACGTTGCCCCCAATCAGGATTCTCAGGCAAACTGTGCAGAATGAGCAAGTGGTTGATTCAGGTCTCATGGAACTAGATTAACTCTAGAGAGGATAACTTATTGCAAAGGACGAAGCCTAGCCGTTCCAAGACTTCATTTTTTCTTGTTTTGAGTATTCTTTTGTACATGGTATCACTTTTGTGATTCCATCCATGGTGAGGCCCTCATACAAGTACCACGATCTTGGTCTTACCCCTAGAAATATAAGTTAATTAATGTCCCCTTTTAAGTTAATAATGTTCCCAGCCCCAGGTATTTTGTTATAACAACACAGAATGGACTAACTGTACTACAGTGAGAAAAACACTGGGTATAATGGGAACCCCTGGCAGGGATATAGGTAGTGTCTCAGCCCCAACACTAAATGGAAGACTCTCTGGTATGGCCAAGAGACATATGGCCATGGAGACCACTAGAGTAGGGATCAGTTTCTATTCCAGGACTCTTAATCCTTTGTATCAGTGTTCTCATCCCTTAAAGAAGATGCCATTAATATCATAGGGTCACTGTAAGGATTCAATGACAAAAGCTATTTATGCTGTTCCTGACATATAATAAATATTCCATGTTGCAACTGAATGTGTATGTGTGTATGTGTGTAAGTGTGTGCATGTTTGTGTGTATGTGTTTGGTGTTTGTGTGTGTGTGTGTGTGTGAGAGAGAGAGAGAGAGAGAGAGACTCATTCACTTTATACCCTGGGCCATTCTTGAACTCACAATCTGGACTCAGTCTCCCAAATGCTAGGATTACAGATATCTATCACCATACATGACTTTCATTATCATCTTTTATATGATTTATGTTATCTATCACCATACATGACTTTCATTATTATTATTTATGTAATTTATCTTCATTACTACCCATTTTTGTATCACTTAGTATAGATCAGGTTGCCTCTGTTAACAGCAGGCTTGCAAGACAAACAATTGTTTTTAGTTCAATTAAACACAGAGCTAAAGCTGGGAACGTAGCTCAGGTTGTAGAGTACCCACCGAGCAAGCATGGGATCCTGGGTTCAGTCCCCAGCACTGCATAAACCCAGTGTGGTAGTATATTCTTATAATCTCAGAGTTTAGAAGATAAGGTGGGAAGATCAGAAAGACTTTCAAGGCCACTGTAGGCGCATAGCAAGTTAAGAGGCCAGCCTGGGATGCTATGAGAACCGATCTCAAAAAAAAAAAAAAAAAGAAAAAAAGAAAAAGAAAGAAAAAAAGAGAAGAAAAAAGAAAGGAAAAAAGAAAGAAAGAAGAGAAAAGGAAAGGAAAGAAATGAAGAGGACGGAAGGGGAGGGGAAGGGGAGGGGAGGGGGGAAGGGAAGAGAAGGGAAGAGAAAAGAGCAGGTTAAACTGTATCTAGGATAAAAAGAACCGCGCACCAGCAGCCTCAGCTAATCTACAAATGGCTGCAAAATGCACATGGGAGCTAAGGGTCGTCAGGGAAAGGCAAAGAGATGGTAAATGTTTCTACTACAGACGGGGCAAAGAGGGAGTGACTCATTTGAGAAATTATCTCTTGTTAAATGGAATTCTCTATTTGATTGACACATGAAAAAATGTTATGTGATTGGAATCTCCAAGTAGTTACACCCACATTCCTCAGTTGTTAGCATTCTGTACCGAGAGGCTGGGGAGGGTGAGGCTGAGGAGAGTTGGCTGTAGAGAGGGAGGTGGAAAAAGAAAGAATTCTGAACTGGGGTGAGAATGAGCCCTTGCTCAGAAGGGGTGGGGGGAGAGAAGGGGAAAGGAGGGGAAGGAAAAGGAGGGTAAGAGAGGGAAGGGAAGACTCCCAGACAGTCTGGAGGACAAGACAGACAGAAATAAACAAATCCTTTAAAAAAGCCAATTATGCATATCTCTACCATACCTTTATAAAAAGAAATGACCAGCTTTTTCCCAGAAAAAGGAAACTTTAAATTGTTTCATGAGGGAGGTAGGGGAGGGTGCTTGCTTGTCTTTGAGATAAGGACTCACAATTTAGCTCAGTCTAACTTGAAATTCCCTATGTTGCCCAGGAAGGCTTTGAATTACAGTAACCCTCCTATCTCAGCCTTCCTAGTACTGGAATCACAGGTGTGAGGCACCCTACACTCATTATAGTCTTTTGTGTGCATGTGTGTGCACTGTTCTTGTGTGTGCCTATACACATGTGTGTGCATGTGTGTGTGCACTATTCTTGTGTGTGCCTATATACACGTGTGAGCATGTGGAAGCCAGAGTTCAACACCAGATGCCAAATGCCTTATTCTTTCTTTCTTTCTTTCTTTCTTTCTTTCTTTCTTTCTTTCTTTTTCTTTCTTTCTTTCCTTCCTTCCTTCCTTCTTCCTTTCTTCCTTCCTTTCTTTCTTCCTTTGTTTCTTTCTCTCCTTTCTCTCCTGCCCCTCCCCCCTTTTTTCTTCCTTTTGACTCAAGGGTTAGTATTTGAACAGAAAAAAATAAGAGAATATTCTGGAAAGAAGTCTGAGGGACTTCTGAGGTCACTACTGAGGTAGATAATTTCCAAGTGGGTGCTGCTGCCTATCCCCAACTATGGGGTCCTCTATGCTGGAGACAAGAAGTAACTTAATGTGGTGGTTTGAATAAAAATGCCCCCACAGGCTCATATATTTGAATGCTTGGTCCCTAATTGCTGGAACTGTTTGGGAAAGATTAGGAGGTCACTGGATACAAGCTTTGGTATTTCAAAAGACCTTGATACCTACTTGCCTGCTACCATGCTCCCCGCCATGATGGTCATGGAATCATTCTCTGAAATGGTAAGCCCCAGTTAAACACTTTCTTCTTCTTCTCCTCCTCCT